GGATATATTAACAAGATAATGATACTACTAACTTCGTATACCTCTACATGCTTCAAGGTATACGAAGTCATTTCTTGAGTTGAAAAGTATGCTGTTATTGTATTGGCTACCTAAAAGTCTGGACCTGAATCCAATTGACGATCTTTGGGACATTTTTTCCCCAAATGTTTAAGAAGGTGGACTACATATTGATAGCTTGTAAATTTAGCAAATACGATGCCCTGACGATTAGAATTGGTTCCAGAACGAAATGTAGATTCAATATGTTACTAAACCAATCAACAGCTTAAACATTGAATGTAAATATAAATTAATTTCGTTTCTAATTTTTACCAATCCTTCTTTTGCACAAATAATAACTTTCGTTGGAAAAAAATTTCAAATGAATTTTGTATTGATAAAATATTTCAAATAGCTGTAAATGTTTTTGTTACTTAAATAGCCCTGTTCAAAAAAAGTAATGCAAGAATCGATAGCTCTGAAACTATACATATCCCAAAGAAATAATTTTTGAAAAGTTCGAAGCTGGCGGTCGCCTTCGTCAACATTTTTTTTTTTTTCAAATTTTGCACGAAAGGTTAGGTCTGACGAAACCAACACTACACATTGATCTTCTATTTTAGGCAATCTAGAAATTTTTTGTGGTTGATGCTGCCGGAAGTAACGAAAATCTTTTGCGCGCTCCTCCAGCGCCACCTTAGTCATCAAGTGTAGTAAAACAATCAATTCTAGATTTAGATTTCTTGTATTAAAAAATTTAAGGAGCTCTTTCTACATATGATAGGCATTATTGCCATATACTGCTGCAGAGAAGCCATTGACAAAATGTGGGGTCTCTCACTGATAGTGATTTTCTAGCTCAACGACACCATAGTCAATAACATTATGATCTATGTAGTCTTTATGTGGTGGAGCTCTCAAGAAAAAACTACTCGTGCAAAAATACTCGAGTGCGTTCAACGGGTGGTGCTCATCAGCATGTGTGGTACACTAAATTTCACTCCAATCATGGCACTAGATGCCATTTTGTATACGGTGCTCGTAGTCATTGCCGGAAGCTGTATGGCTGCGAAAGTTGCTATCAAACTCAGCGAATCTGGGTGTCTGAACACTCGGAAATCCGATACACTTTGACTTCACACCGTATCACTTGGATCATGTAGTTGCCAAGCCGGACTCTGGCGGCTCCTTTTCTGCATATATACTGGCGAGGTAGTTGTGGGTGATAGGAAGCTGTTGGAGTAGAAGAGCAGTGAGCTTCTTTGCGGATGAGTTAAAGCTTGGGGAGAAGGTTGGTGAAGGATTGGTGGAGTTTACTGCCAGGAGCTCAATATAAACTCAAGCTTCTTACTTCCTGACTATTGTAGTATTTTTCAAGCCGAGGTTACAGCCATTAAGATATCTGCAGCAGTAGGTTTACAACTGGGCAATGCAACCCTTTCTTTTCTTGATCAAAAAAAATAATTCTTTATAAACTGTATTATTTTGTTAGTCTACATATATATCATAGACCTACATATTGAACTCCTAGTACTGTGGCGACTTTAATTCAAGTAATCAAACTTTAAGATTATTTTTATCAAATTATTTTCAATAAGACAGCTTTGAATATGCCAAGCTGACACGTTCCAGCCAAAACATAAGTAATTTCCTTAATGATGCTAATGGGTTTGTACCTCGACAATGTTGTCGTCGAATATTTTGTTTCGTTCTGGCATATTTCAAGTTTTTAATTACGATGATTCTTTGAAGAATTTATAATTACTGTTCCAACCTTTTTACTGAAGATGTACCTACCTCAAAGAGTGAGTAAGTTGATACATATTTTGTGAGTAAGGTTATTTCTTTGTTTTTATAATTACGAATTTCTTGTCTATAAATTCCTTGAAAAGCGGGAATGGGGTTGAAAAAGTAATGAACATATGTTTTCAACAACTTTTACACAACTCTGCCATATTCTTTTAGGGATAAAGAATAATAAAAAAGTGTGAAATCAAGAAACATCTTCGAAAAAAATCAAAACATATAAAATCATAAAAAATAATACGTTAGGATGAAGTGATCCCAAATCCTATGAGATTAAACCCGAAACTAGAGATCGGAAATTTAAAACTATTACTAGACTACTATATTACTATTATAAGCAGCCATGACATAGCTACTTACTTATCACTCATATCAAACGGTTTTGAACCATTTAAAAAAGACTGGCTACAACAAGAAGCTCGATGTTTGGGTACCACATATATTGTCTGTGAAAAAATTTAATGAATCGAATTCACATCTGCGATTCTTTGCTGAAACGAAATGAAATCGAACCATTTCTGAAGAAAAACGGCTAGCACTGATCAACAGAAAGGGCTAAGTCTTCCATCAGGATAACGCTAGACCACACACATCTTTGAAGACACGGCAAAAGCTGGGAGAGCTTGGCTGGGAAGTTCTGATGCATCGACCATATAGACCTTGCACCAACGGACTACCATTGGTTTCGGTCAATGCTGATTTCCCTTATGGCAGTAAAGTTGGCTTCAACAGAAGCCTGTGACTGTGTACTTGTCGTAGTTTTTCGCCGAGAAGCCAGAAAAGTTTTACACTGATGGAATAATGTCTCTAGCGGAAATATGGCAAAAAGTGGTCGACCAAAATGTTGCATATTTTGTTTATTAAAGGGGTATTCTAGTCTAGAAATGCTATTTAACGGCATTTTTTAAAGTCCAATAAAAAAAAAAAATTAAGAAAATTTTTACTATCCAATTTTTTATCAGATTTTTATTGATATTTTAAGAATACAAAAACAAAAAATTAAAAAATTTTTTTTTGATAATTTGATTAAATGTGGCGTGGTGGCGTGGCGGGGGTTGAAAATTCGGGTGCGCCCTTCCTGACACAATTCCATCAGTTTGGGTGATCTGAAAAAAAAAAAAAAAATGCTGCTGTTATCTGAACTAGGATAAATAAAAAAAAAAGTTTTCAGTAAATGGCGACTGTTGAATTTTTTGCCCGTTTTTTGGCAACGATCTAAATTTTTTAAAAATAGTAAAAATCTAAATTTTTTTAAAATTCTATTTCCAAACAATGAGAGATATATAAGGAAGGCCCACATCAAATTTCAAGTTAATCGGTTTATTAGAACTTGAGAAATCATGTCACAAGTGTTGAAAATGGTAGTTTCGAGAAAAACGCGATTAAAGATTTGTGTCTAACTGCAGGCAGTCTGTACCTACATTTCGTTAACGGCCATTCCTGCAGAGCCGTTTTGCACGCTGCGTCACTAAAATAGCTATAAGTCGGTAAATAAAAGGAATTTTAAAAATTCCTTTGGGGAATATATTCTTAAAGGTCCAGTCTTTATGCAAAAAAAAAAAATAGATTTTTTCAAAATTCTGGACTAGAATACCCCCTTAAAGTTCAATATAAATCAAAAAGAAATAAGTTGAAGTTTGATTAAAAATACGAAAAAACTTTTTCGACTGCCCAATACTAACACCTCAAAATTCAAATGTTCAAGTTTTGGATTTTTTTTTTGGTTTTTATACAACCTCTTCCTTTCACGGGTATTTTCCAAGGTTTGGCGCATGATGGAAATCAGCGCAGTTAGTGCAATTCAATGAAAACCAGAAACTATGGGATAGCAGGTGTACGTCATACACCGAGTGGAATATGCAGCTGAAATGGCTGTACAGAAACGATAAAGACTCAAAACATACGGCTAGAAACGTAAAAAAATGATTTTATAGAAAATTTTATATAAAATATAAATTTATGGACAATCAAAGAGAGTAGTGTAGCCGCAAACCAAAGCATGCTAATGATTTATGGCAGACAGCATATGTTGGATTTGCTTGAACTTGTCAACTCAATTGCATAGCTGCAGGTTTCTATGTTCGTATATTGCTTAAGTCAATAAATATAATCAAAAAACTCCGACTACATGGTTGATTTGACTATATTTGTTGACTTAGACAATATATGAACATGGCAATAGAGTCGACAATTTCAAGAAGATCGAACAGTGTGCCATAAATCATACAAAAAATACTTATAACATAGCGCTCATTACCTGTGAAGCACCACGTGCAAGAAATTGCCAAAAACAAATATGATCAGTCATGAGAATAAAGAGAAATATGTTTTGGCTTATGCGATCAACTTCAGTGGCGTGTCTTAAAGCCAGGCTAAGAACAATAATAAGAATTTCAATTCCAGCGACAACATTTCAAGCAAAAGAGAGAAACAGCTTACGTACAGCGCTGAATATCAACAGAGAGGCTTGTTGGTTTGAGTGCGGCTCAGAAGCGGTACATACGAATACACTGTGCTCAGCTTTACCTACATATCGTCAACTGAAATGCAAAATAACGTAACAACATTTTCGGAAATTTACAGTGGCATGAATGAAGCATGAAATAAAATGGAACATGTGTGAAAAAAAAAATTTAATATTGGTTAAAACTGGTTTATAATGAGAGCAGAACCTGAAAATGTTGTACATATGTAATATTATGTATGTAATTTGAAGTAGTGAATCGTAATCAATGAGAAACTCAATTTCGAATTTTTTGATGATACGTTATTTTGCATTTCAGTTGACGATATGTACATTTGTACATTATATAAATGCTTGTGTGTTTATCATGTTTATCTGGAGACGTGGAAATCAGCTTTTGCCAGAAGTCATTCAACCTGTCGGCAAGCGCTTGCACTTACAACGCTGTTTCAGAGCGACAATGGCAAGGTAATTGTTTTATATACATACATATTTACAACTCTATGCCAGTATATTTCGCAGTCGAGTAACTAAAAGTAACAACAAAAAGCGCATATAGTCAAATAGCGCTTGCTGATCAGCATGCTGAGAGAATAAAAAGCAAAGTCAATGTTAAAAATGTATATGAAAATGCAAAAAAAGTAGAAAAATACCGGTGGGCTCCATTGAGTATGTGTGTGTTTGTGCGACTTATGACTCTGTGTGGAGTGCTGTTGACGCTCTGTAGGCTGCTCGGGAAGTTAGTGAGCACAGCTGTACGGTGGTTATAGCAACAGCTCAAGCCACCTTTCTTTTCCAGCGCCTGTTTATTCAGTAAGAAAAATACGCCGGCAGTGAGAGGGCGACTAAAAGAACGGCTACAGCCAACTAAAAAATACTTGCCATACAATTTATAGAATATACTAGATCTTCATTTCTTTTGTAAAGTAAAATAGTAAAAACAAAAAAAAAGCCTACGCAATATCCGCAATGCAAACGACAAAAAAGTACCTGAAATATGCACAGCTTCTTGCCAGTGTTGTGCTGGTGACTTGTGTGACCACGGCGGCGGCCAGTTCATGCGCCGGCTGCGTGGATTTGGATGAGCTAAACTTCGATCAGACTGTCGAGCGGTTTCCCTATGCGCTAATCAAATTCGATATCGCCTTTCCTTACGGCGATAAACATGAGGCCTTCGCGGCATTCTCAAAAACTGCGCACAAAGTCACGAAAGAGCTGTTGGTGGCCACTGTCGGCATCAAAGACTATGGCGAGAATGAAAACAAAGAGCTGGGTTTGCGTTTTAAAGTGGACGATAAGAGTTTTCCGGCTATTTTTCTTTTTAAGGATGGCAAGTTGGAACAGCCTGTGCGCTTTCCCACACACTTGGATGTGACATTGGACAATTTGAAGCAGTTTGTGACACAGCACACGGATTTATATATCGGACGCGACGGTTGTCTGAAGGACTTTGAAGAATTGGTCAAGAAATACGCTAACAAAGCAAATGACGAACAAGCGGCGTTAATTGCAAAAGCGGAGCAAATGTTGCAAGCTGTAGCTGGCGATGAGATGAAGTCGGCAAGCGCCAAAGCCTACTTGGTTTATATGCGAAAAATCAATGAGAAGGGTTACGACTATGTGGAGGACGAGACCAAGCGGCTGCAACGTCTGAAGGCTGGCAAGGTGACGGATGCCAAGAAATTGGAATTGCAGCGAAAACTCAATATACTCGAGGCATTTCGTGTCAACAAGCTGACGAAGTTGAGGAGCAGCGATGAGCTCTAAGTCCATGACTGCAAACAGTATTGGCATTAAGAAAATGAAATTTAACTGAAGTGAAGTGCTTTTAATCCATATAAGAGACGTACATATGTACATACAAATACAAAAAAAAACGTAATGTAGTTAATTAAGTGTGTTTGACAGGACAAAAGCGGCAATAACACAACAATTTAACGTTGACAAGGGATTGTAACGCGAAACTTTGCGCTTCGACTAAATTATATTAGTTAATACACATGTATGTATGTATGTACACAATAGTTTATTTTCGTCTCATTTAATAAATTATTTGTTAGATTTATATAAATAAACTGTACGTATGTGCGTGTATTTTTGGTCTTAAATTTTTTGTTGGTAACCCTTGGTTTGTTGTGCCACAAACTTGTTAGAACCTTGCCATGGTAACCAGTTTTTGGTATACTGTTGCGTATGGCAATAAACCGAAAGCAAATATTATTCGGCAATGCGGCAATATTGTGCTGCCATAAAAAGCCTTGGAGCATTCACTAGGGCATTATAGCTTTCTTTAGGTAACAATGAGTAAGAAACAAGAAAATACGACTGCGCCAAAGCCATAAAATCCGTTAAAGGTATATCTTTTATAGCATAAAAATATCTGTATACTGATTTTGATCATTCAGTTTGAATAACATGGTACAAATATGCACCATTTTAGTTGACCAATTTTTACCATTTTTCTGCTAGAGACATTATTCCATCAGTGTTTTCTGGTTTCTTGGCGAAAAACTGCGACAAGTAATTTTCACAGGCTGCTCTTGAAGACAACTTCACTTCATTAAGCGAGTTCTGCATTAACCGAAACAAATGGTAGTCTGATGGTGCAAGGTCAGGGTCAAGTTTTTGCCGTTCAAGTTTTTGCCGTGTCTTCAAAGATGTGTGTGGTCTAGCGTTGTACTGATGGAAGACGAAGGAAGTCCTTTCAGCTGATCAGTTCTGGCCATTTTTTTCGATTGCTTGATTCAATCTCATCAGTTGTTGACAATCGTTCGATCAGGCTGGAACAGCTCATAGTGGATGATTCCTTTCCAATCCCACGAAACACTCAGAATAATTTTTCGAAGCGTCAATCGGAACTTTGTGACCATTTGCTGAGTTTCAACACGCTTGTACCATAATCTTTTGCGCATATTATTGTCGTATTTGTTATACTTTTCGTCTCCTGTTACTATTCGCTTCAGAAGTGGTTCGATTGCATTATGTTTCAGCAAAGAATCGCAGATGTTCACTAAGTAGGTAAGTGCGAAATTACCCAAAATGTGCCGTTACTTTTCAGAGAATATTTACAAATGTAGACAAAGGCATGTGATCAATTAGTTGAATTTGTGAAATAAAGGGGTATTGATCGCCATAATATTGCTCTGAAATTCAAGTATTTCTTTTTATTCTTTAAATAATAGCTGTGGAATCGTTTTTAGTAAAAGGTGAGTTTTTTTATTGTTTTTCTTTGTTATTTTCTTAAGTTTGGCTTGACTATAGATGAAAAAACTAAGTGCAACAAAAAAGGATGAAATCAAAAGGCTTATTCATTTAAACACAACGCATAGAGAAATTGCAAGAATCGTTGGTGTTTCTGCAGGCGTTATTTCAAAAATAAGACAATCAATGAGCTCTCCATGTGTCAAAAACACTCTTGGACGAAAGCCAATTTTGAATGCCACCTTAGAAAGGCGCATTGTTAGGCAGATAAAGTTTGGTGTGCATAAGAATGCGGGCCAAATCAGACGTGATCCCTCCCATAGGGATGGAGTAAATGTAACAAGTGAAGCTATAAGGAAGAAATTGCGGAAAAACGGATTCCACGACGTGCCAAAGTAAAAAAACCACTCTTGACAAAACGACACCGTAAATAGAGACTACAATTTGCAAAAAAATATAAAACCTACACCCAAAATGACTGGATGCGAGTCACATGGTCCGACGAGACAAAAATAAACCGTCTGGGAAAAGATGGGCGTTAGTGGATTTGAAGGAAACCCCGAGAACCTTTGACTAGCCGTATTGTTCAACCAACGGTCAAGTTTGGAGGCGGTAATGTGATGATGTGGGGGTGTATGAGGATGGAGGGGGTAGGAAAGTGCGTAAGAGTTGCCGGACAAATGGAGGCCAACCAATATGTCGATATCCTTCAACAAGGTTTGTGCAAGAGTCTGGAAGTGTGGGGCAAGGATGTGTCGAACGTCATCTTCCAGCAAGATAATGATCCGAAACACACTTCTCGTGTAGCTAAAGCTTGGCTTTGAAGTACTAGACTGGCCCCCTCAATCGCCAGACTTCAACCCAATCGAACATGCTTGGGTTGAGGTCAAGCGTGCGATTTCTGAAGTCCAAGGTGCGTGTCGGAATCTTGACGATTTATGGCAAAATATTTGCGGAGATTTCTGTAGAAAGGTGGTTGGGTCCATGCCCAAACGAATTGAGGCAGTAATCAAAGCAAAAGGGGGTCATATTAAGTATTAAGTAAAAAAAAAATCGTTTATGTCAACCAATTGATCAAATGTGCAGCGGAGACATTTTTTAAAATTCTATAAAATCTAGTAAGTGTTTGAAAACAAATGTGTTCATTTTATTTTATTACTTTTAATTGTTTTGTATATAAAATAAAATTTGATTGCTATTACAAATAAAAGAGTTGGCAACAAAAACCTTTTTCTGATAAACAGGTGTGATCAAACAGTTGACATACTGTAGTTTTCACAGACAATCATGTGGTACCCAAACATCGAGCTTCTTTTTGTAGCCAGCTTTTTATTTAAATGGTTCAAAACCTTTTGATGATGAATGTTAAGTTTCTTAATGATGTCATGGCTGCTTATTTGACGGTCCGGGTTAATTTTTGCATAATTTCATCGATTTTTCAACTATAGGCGGAGCAGAGCGAGTTTCCTCTTTCACTTCGAACTTTCCAGAACGGAAGCGAGCGAACTATTATTGTGCCACACGAACTGTTACACCATCGTCTCCGTAAACTTCACACATTTCATTGGTGACTTGTGTGACATTCTTCCCTTTTTTAAACAAAAATTTCAAAATGTTGCGAATTTCTTCATTATTTTCATTAATTTTTGAACAGCTGTAACTTTTTTTCAACTTTCGCCAATTTAATTTTTTTGATTAAATGAAGCTTAAAATCTCACCTTTCCAACACAATGTGGTTGGTAGTACTGGAGATATATGTACGATATCTATTAACAAAATACGAATATACTACGACATACATGCTTTAATAGCCCGATCTGAACAATTTTTTGGAGATCGATTGTCTTGCATGGTAATCCTGGTAAAATTTCTTGAAGTCAAATGAAAAATGCTTGCCATACAAGTACTTGATTCCGATTGTTCAGTTTGTAAGGCAGCTATATGCTATAGTTGTCCGTTAACAGTTGTTACGACAAACCAGCTTTTGAGAAGGACATTAACGGGTTTTTCAAAGGGGAACTACAAAAATAGATCAATAGGGACAGTATATAGCTATGACCCACATCATGATCCAACAATGATTCGAAATTTTAAAAACTTAATACCGAAATTCTGGGTGAGTGAGCTCAACTTTAAGAGCGCTACGTGCAATTTATGGACATCATAATCGTTCTGTCAGATCAACAACGTCTAGTGAAAACATTTTAATCCACAGGCACAGTACAAAATGTTCCCATGCCAGTGAGACAAAGAAGTGCCCAAAGTGTCGAAAATATTGCTGCCGCTATCGCATCAATTAAAGAAGACCAAAATCAGTCGCTCACAAGTCGTTCTCAAGCGTTTGCCATCGCTGTGGCGCATTTCGCAAAAATATCTTGACCTACATCATTACAAGAACAAATTGACGCAACAACTGAAGCAGCTGGGCCACCAGATCGTGCAACAACTTCAAAATGATCCGGATTTCTGAAAAATCATCTTCAGCGATGTCCTCATTTCAGGCGGATTGGCTTCGTCAATAAACAAAACATGAATTATTGGTTAGGCAGAGACGCCGAAAAAATTACGACTTAGTGCGGTTTAGGGACCGGCGGCGGCATTGGGAATCGATATCGCTCATAGATAATCTAATATTTTTGGCCCGAATTGGATGCTATGGACACGGAAAATATGTGGATCCAACACGACGGCGCCTTAAGCTACACATCGAACACAATCGATTTTCTGAAAACCAAGTTTTGTGAATATGTTGTCTCACGAAATGGCCCAGTCAATTTGCCGCCTCGGTCATGCGATTTGACGCCATTAGACTATATTCTGTGCGACTACGTCAAGTCTACGGTCTATGCCAACTAATCAGCGACGATTGATGAACATCGTATGTAACTATCGAACGTGAAGATGCAGCAGATCGGTCGAAAACCATCGAAAATTGAGTTCAATATGTGAACTTCTGCAAGCGTGCCCGTGGTGGCCATGCATAAGACATCGAGTGCCACACATAATGGCATCAAATGTATTTTCACTGGAATAAAGAATTTCATTGATAACACAAACCGTTTTTGTATTATTTACTTTTGTAGCGCTCTTATTGAAAAACCCGTAGAGGTGATTTTCGAAATTCGAAGACAGATATTTTTATTTTGGGTTTTCCGGTAATTTAAATGCATAGAAAATAATTTTCTAAAATAAACAAAAAGAAAATCTTACCATTGTATTAATACTGTGGCATTCAAACAGTTATATTTTCGGCCTGAACTCTTAAATGCATTTGTAGTTGTTATCTGATGTGTTTGCAGCTTATATGCACTCCATTGATCAAGCTACATATGCACTCGCCTAAGAGTATGCAATAATATGTGAGCAAAATGATTCCACCGAATGCACTGAACCACCCTGTAGAAAGTGATCAAGCGGAAGTGATAATATATAATCCAACAACAATTTTTTTTGAACGAGTGTAAAAATTTATAATTCTATGATTTTACGATGCTTTACGACGTTGTGTGGACGTCAATTATATCTACATATTTGTGGTTTTATTATTTCGATTATCATATACTTTGTAGGCCATGGTTGCATTTTGTTTACAGAGATGGGTTGCATAAACTAACCGTATTTTGACGGGCAACAATATTTCTCATTTATGTACTATGTGCTTCATATGATATTGTTATCATGAACTGATTTTTATATTCTCGCAACAAAGTTGCTAAAGAGAGTATTATAGTTTTGTTCGCATAACGGTTGTTTGTAAGTCCTAAAACTAAAAGAGTCAGATAAAGGGTTATATATACCAAAGTGATCAGGGTGACGAGTAGAGTTGAAATCCGGATGT